ATATAAAATAATAACTGTTACATAAAATAATATATATATATTACGATTAATATATAATATATTACATATAATATATAAATAATATATTTATTATTTTTATAATATAATATATATATTACAATTAATATATATATATATTTTATATTATATATATATAATATATAATATATTATATATAAAATTTATAATAACTGTTACATATAATATATAAATAATATTATATATAATATTATATAAAATTCTTGGATGGCATAATCGTAAATTCTTGGATAAAGGAATTTTATAATGATAAATTGAACAAAAAGTAACGCCGTCAGGGGGATTTGTAACGGCGTTAACGTAGCAGGGAGAGTGTGCATGCAAAAGTATATTACAAGGGGGTATGACGCAATTTTTAAAATACAGGGGGAAAACGCGCAGATTTAGTATATTACAGGGGGGTTTGGTGCAATTTACCCAATTATAATATCTATTGTAATATTCTTTTGTCTAAATGCAATATATTTAAGCTCCAAAAATGGATCCGACTAAAGCTCAATTGGGTTGGTAGTACAGTTGTAATCAAAGCTAGTCGAGTTCGAGCTTTAAATATTTAAACTTGCTTGAGCATTTACGTACCAAGCAGATATATTGAGCTCGAACATATCATAAAAGTTTCATGACATGGAAAAACCTTTATTTATGCCTAACCAGCCTAGCTTAGACGAGCCCGAGCCTAATAAACGAGCCTCAACTAAGCTTTATATGGTAAATGATTCGAACTAAACACTTGAGCCCAGGGGCGGATCTAGAAAATTTAATTGGGGGGGACAAAATAATTTTCCATGACATGCTTCATTAAAAAAACAATGTTGAATTTTTAGATTTAACAAAAAAAGTAGTTCAAGAAAATACATATCGTTCAAACTTTGTAACTATTAGAATTGTGTTTGACGTTCTGTCAAGTCACAAAACCTATCGATGATTAATTTTCTAGTAATAGATCTTGCAATTTTCCTTTCAATAAAGATAGTCAAAGAATTACAAGAAAGTCATCTTCCATTTACTTCAAAGTTTGGCTTTAACTATGATAGTCATAGCCGAAATGCACTCTCTAGCTAATAGATTATTTAGTGATAGTCACTACATATAAGTATAATGAATAAATACACACATGTTTTAAAACCTACATCCATAAAAAGGATAAATAAATAAAATTACGAACACGAGCATAAATTAAAATAATCATAAATATAAAAAAATGATCAAATTATTCAGACGAATCAAGGAATTGGACGACGATCCTTGTTGTTGTTGCAAAATTGTCTAATATTTTCACCTTGCAAGCTTGCCTCCGCTGTGTTATACGTCTCGGTGCCGATGTTTTGTGTGTTTCTATCTCTATCTCTAGAATCTTGAATTAAGTTTATTCCTTTATGTTAATTAGAGTAGTTTTATTTATAAATAAATAATATAATACAATAAAATATGGAAGTTAAATGGGTTTATGACTTATCTTCTATATATTTCTTTAATGGGTCTTGACATGTCTTAGTCCACATAATCTCAATCTATATATTTTTACTTAATTAGTTAATGAGAATAATAATAATTAAATATACTTAATCTAATAATATTACCTGCATATACTTGGGTAAAAAACACCAAATGTTTGGGGGACCATGGCCCCCCTAGTTTATATGTAGGTCCGCCTCTGCTTGAGCCTTAACGTGTCGAGTCGAACAGCACGAGCTAATGAACAATACTTTGCTTCATTTAACTATTATATGTAACGTGTATATTAATTTTTTGAAAACATTACATACTTTTAAAATCGATACACATATTTTAAAAATAACATAAATAGAATTATGATATGTTAATGCTTTGTGCCTTTTTTTTTTCAAAAGAATTTATATATATGACTTCAATTCGAGTAACATGAATTATTGCATACAGCTACAATTGTTTGAGTTATGGCTTTATTTCAAAGCCTAATTTTGGACGCATTGTTACTTTTTTGAAATTTTGAGCTAATTTTGTTGGAAATAAATTATATATTAGTGGGCTTTCAGTTCTTGAAAGTGCAATATTTGGGATCTGATTAGGAAACACAGGAAGAACAAAATCTGACATGCTTGTTTTGCTTTGTTTTATTTTATTTTGATCCCAAATTGTTACCATTTAAAACAAATTAATATTAATAATCAGACTCCAATACTTAAAATGATTCACCTAATTGATTTAAAGTAGTTGATTATCAAAATATGACTGGTTTATTTCTTTGCCAATTGTTATTGAAAATCCCTACTCAAAAAACTAGGGGTGTGCAAAACCGAGCCGAAACCATGCATTTCGGTGCGATTCGGTTCAGTTATTTTAGTAAAAAAAAAAATCGGTTCGGTTCGGTTTTTTCCAAGTTACGATACGGCTCGGTTATTATTATTTTTTTTTTTGCTATGTTCGATTTTCGGTGTTTTGCAGTTCAGTGCGATTTTTCACCGAACGGCACAATTGCTCACCTCTACAAAAAAACATTTATTTCCAACAGTAACAAAACCAAAAGAGCAAAAAATGCAATAGAATTTGTCCAAAAGATTTTTGAATAATCATGACTTGGGATTTCTACCATTAATTAGTACCATGCAATTTTTTTTTATTGGATTTAGCAAAATACACATAAAATGATGCCATAAATAAAAAATAATAACAATAATAATGGCAATATCAGTCAAACAAGTAACATCATTTGTGGTAGTTTCGGGACATAACTTCTTTTTCTATTCTTTTACGCAATGACAATAAATATATAACCCAAGATTATTTGAATAAGATAATTTAGGTCTCTTCCAGTTTAATTAGTGGTCTCGTGTTCGAGCCCTGGAAATGCAGCAGCGTTAAAAATTCTTGAGGGAGAGCTTTGCCGCCCTTCGGTTCTACCCGGCTCGATTCCAGATTAATCGGTTCCCCTGATGATCCGAATATCGGAAGGTTCATGTATCAAAAAAAAAATAAAAAATAAAATATAAATATATATATATATATATATATATCATATAAATGCTAATTATATGAGTTCCATTCCATCCCTCCCTCGTGACCGTATCAAAATCCTCTCTAACAGTTTCTTTACAGCGTCACCTAACTACTTTTGGCTACAATA